CACAGTTTGGAAGAGAGGTTTACTGAAGTAACTCATCCAAATGTGTGTATTTCTGAATAGCACAAATGACAGGAAAAGAAGAAACATCTTTCAAGTGACGCTCTTCTTGCAGTTATTTGGCACTCCAAACTGTAAAAGCATTTGGGTTAGTTTAAAATGCCTTTAGATAGAAATTACCTTAGTAGCCTACTTATTCCGTCAATTTTCAGTTATGGGTGTACCCCCTGTGTGGATTTGCAAAGAGGTATCAATATAAGATGATGGTTGTAACAACAATAATCTGAGCTCTTGTTGCGAGCGGCTTGGAAGTTGTTTTAGTTGGATGGAGATTCCAAATTGGCTGTGGCAAAGCTCTGAGTCTTGGGCAGAACCAAACTGCTGTTTCCATGATTAGGTGCAAAATGGGCTGTGTGGGTACTCAATCTCCTGGCAGTATGAAATGGCTCCTGTGAGTATAAACGGTATATGAGTACAAATGGTTTCCTTCAGCAACACGTAGACTCTAGTGGGGACTAAGAAGCTGGTTTATAAAACAGTACGAGGTCTAATTTCACTTCATCATGCTGCTCCTGAAGAGCGTGAATCCTCAGGCGCTCTCTGGAAAGCCCAGGAAAAACTTCCAACCGTGCCTTTTTTAACTGAGAAATTAAAATTTAGGAAAATCAAGGCAGACTCTCAAGTCTCATCTTGGTGAGCACTAGAAAATCTTCAGGTAATTAGGTCTGAACCTACTTTGAAAAGAAATACTGTTATGCTGCTGGAGATCTATCTTCCTATTCATAGCTGGATTTTCTAGATAGAGTAACAATACAGCACATAAAAGCTCTCTATAATTTTATTAAAAACAAATAATCAAGATACTTAAAATGCCAACACCACCTATTCCCCTCAAAGAAATTTGAAGCAGCCTTTATTTACCCAGATGAACTACACCCAAAAAGAAAAGTGATAGGAACTGAGGGAACAGCATAAAGCTGAGGCAGGGGAAGTTTATTTTGGATTTTAGGAAAAGGTTCTTCCCCCAGAGGGTGGCCAGGCACTGGAACAGGCTCCCCAGGGTCACAGCACAAAGGCTGATAGAGTTTAAGGAGCATTTGGGCAATGCTCTCAGACACAGGGTGTGACTCTTGGGGTGTCCTGTGCAGGGCCACGAGTTGGACTTGATGATCCTGATGGGTCCCTTTCAACTCGGGATATTCTATGAGAAGTATATCTGTCCTCAACAAATTGCCATGAAATAGGCTTTACTGGTTTAACAATACTGTGATTTTATCTCTTTTTCATTAACTACTTTTTCTCCAAAAGTCTTTTTTATGTTTGTTATGATATGCAGTATGTCACTGCTACAGATATCTTGGAGCTTGTAAGGAAGTTTAAACCCCAAGAGACTCTCTGATCAAACAAGGTCACACCAGCAGTTATGATGCTCATCAAATGCACTTTTTTTCATCCTCACCCACATCTCAAGTGTTGTATCAGAAGCTGCTTCAAAAGAGCAGGAGAATGGAAGTTCTTTTGGAAACTTTTGTACTGCATGTCTACAGAACAGAAAAAAATCTTTCTAAAGCAACAACAGAACTAAAATCCACTAGTCTTTGCTATAACTTTTTTATTGTTGTCTCTAGTGAAAATTTTCAAGAGATGATTCCACTGTCCTCTTTTAATATCTTCTTTCTGCCGAAGTAGCTGATGTACAAGAAAGAAATTTAGCTGTTGGACAATGTAATTCTTAAGTCAGCATGTTCTGTTCGGTTTCACTAAGTGAGAAGAACCTTAAATATGCTCTCCCTTCTGTGCCAGTTTTGATCACGGTATTAGGATGGGCCTGAAATCTAGCCAGCTTTTCTCTCTTTTGAGCTTCAAATCAAGATGAAAACCCACTGTGGAAGCTCATCTTGTAGGCAATGCTTTCAAAAATCTTTGCTCTCAAAAATGGAGAATGATATTATTGGTATATCACTCTTTAGGCAACTGTTCTGGCTGCTGTTGTAGATGCCATACAGGTTTGGAACAAAAATTAGGTTTCAGCTCTGTAGGCTATAAAATTTCTCTGCAAATTGCAAAACAGTAGTTTGAAACAGAACAAAGTGCAGCATGTCCAATGGCCTAAGCAAAATTCAAGCCAAAACTGCTGCCAGGTAATCACTGTAATTTATAAATATGTGTTCTACACACAGAGGCACCTACTGGCTGTGTTGAATAGATACTGCACAGAGCACGCTTCAGTCTGGTCACACCGTTGTTCTGTAGCAGTAGGACAGAGGTACAAGGGGTTGGAAGACTCAAAGAAAACTGAAACTATTTTATGTCAACTAAGCAGCATTGTTTTCCTTCTTCACAAGTGCCAAGCTAGATGCAATGCCTTTGTTTCTATGTTCAGGCATTGGAGTTGTAACTTACAGGGACCCCAGTGAACCATCCCACGTGCTCTCACTACATTGAGGAATGGCAAAGCTTCTGTAGGAGTCTTGAGTCCAGAAATGTTTGACCATTGCCATCAGCATCCCAGCACACTTTTCTTCCTCCAGGGCAGAAAATGGTGCTACTTGCTCCCTTCAGCGTAGTCATAAAGAATAAAGGAAGTGCCTTCATGGGACTTCTTAAGTTGCTGAACATATTGCCAGGGAGTAGCTTGTCTCTAAACCAGTGGGAAATATCCAGCACAAACAGATGGCCAATCTTCATTCAGCTCTGTGCTGTGGAGCACACAACAGTTTTCTCTCCTCTTTTTACCACATTCTCATTTCAGTCAGATTAGTGATGGGGCTGTGCATAGCAGCCTGTGACTGCCTGGGCACTGCCTGCCCATCTTCTGCTGGAACTATCTGGCCTGTTGCTTTAGATACAGAGATTAATTCTTCCCCTCCTTTGCTAGGCCACACAAAAGGGTCTTCTGCCAACGTTATTGTGCTGGGATTCAGCTTGTGGGGGCTCTTCCGAGGAATAAAGGATAGAGAATGGACTAGTAGCCTCTAGCAATTTCCAGCTTTATCCCTGAGGACAGAATTAGCCTTCCTGATTGCCTTGTAAGAAGATATATGTGTTTGATGAGGTGCTTTGCAGGGTTTAGCCCCAGATACAAGTTCATGAGCCAGTGTGAACGCAGCAGTTCATTGCAAATGCAAACCTGTGTGCACTGCTGAGGTTTACACACACGCACGCTTCCCCCCCTTCACTAAAGAGCACTGAAAACATCTGATCTTTACTTCTTCCCTTCCCATCCTTCCCTTTCTGAGACCAGCACAGTGGCATAAGTAGAGTCAGGTTTCAGAATTTTCCTGTGTCGTGCAGTATTGATGTACCAGAGTGGACAAAGTCTGTGTGTGTGCAGCTGAGAACTCACAGCAGACAGTTCTCCTTACAGGTGGCAGAGTTCCCATGGGAAAAGGATAACACAGCTGAGTTTCTGACAGGCTGTTCTCTCAGATGCAGCCTCAGTGCCTCACCATGACACCCTACCAGCTCCTTCTACCCAGTATCTTTTTTTTCCAAAACAGTTTTCAAAATTTTCCATTCCAAGAAAAAACACCCTAAAAAACTTCTTGCGAACATGTTTGCCGAACTTACCAAAGGAGGAAGATGATTTCAGCTGGTCATAGTCCTGTATTTGTTCTAAATAAATCAGATGTTGACTACAGAAACATCTTTAGTTTCTGTTGTTTACAGCCCAGGCTGACAGTTAACCTCTCAAAAACTTTCAAATAAAACTCAGCTGAAGAAATCTTTGCTTTCCCCAGACTCTGAAAATGTCCAGGGTTTTTTATTTAGTGGTTTTGTGGTGGTGTGTTTTGGCATACTGTATTGCATACCTCCCTGTGGTCTTTAAATTACCTGGTCATCAAGAAGGCATTTACATTCCTGTTAAAATAAGTGCACTCAGAGGTGCCAACAGAAAATTATGCATAAGGATATAGTTTATGTACACAGGTTGCAATCTAATAAAAAACCAGTCACTTCATGTTCCTAGGTCTGTGAATATTTATCATCATAAGCAAGTAGCAGAGAGAGGCTGGGCTGAGGAAATAAGGGATAGTAGAGGAAATCGTTGTAACCAATAGAAGACAAACCTCCTTAGTGAAAACAGGTTCTTGCAAAATCACAGGTAAAAGCTGCTGACAGTTTCCTTTGTATCTCTAAGTGGCCCTGACCTAAACCAGTCCCATAAATTAAGGTGCCCAAGAACAATATGTAGCAAAACAAACGTTCTGCCAGCTCCTCACTGGTGCCCAGGAAGGATCCCATCATTTTGTATAAAAGCAGCTGGGGGAGATAATTGTGTGGCTAAGGGAGCATCAGCAGGTTGCAAGAAATCATTAGTCACCTCTGCAATACACCTGGTAAATTATTAGTACATTTAAACAGAGCTGTTCCTCTCAGTACTGCAGTGTAGGATACAGACAGCTTCAAGGCTCTGAACATAATCAGCAGCTGTGTGTCAGCAATTAGGAAGCAACCTTTTTTCTAGTATGAAATCAAGGCAGAAGAGCTGCAATTGTGGCTGGAAGTAGGCTGTGCTTCTATGATTTTACCAGGCACCTGCAGCCTGACAAGCTAATCTGACATGCAGCACAAGGATCCAGTTCTTTCCAGTCACCCACCATGTGCTATAGGAAGTCTAAACGGGTTTCAAGTTTTCAAGTCAACTGTAGAACACCAAATGACGCCAGGTCAAGCATGATGATACAATGGCAAGTTTGGATGAGGCACTGGGAGAAACTCTATGGTACAAAGCTAACTCTTCAGGGAAAAAAAAAAAAAAAGGCTGGCAGGTTACCACATTTGAACCACAGTGTGAATTTATATTGAATCAGTATTTTGACTTAAGCAGTGCCTACCATGTTTTTCACCTGACGTAGGAGCTCTAAACCTAGTTCATTTATAGTTTTCAGGCGTTGCTTTGGTAAAGTAGATTGAAAATTGCTGTTATGTAAAGTGGAAAGTCTTCTGAATTAGTCTTGGCTGTTGTGAACTAGATAAACCTTTAGCATCTCTCTTTTCAGCTCCACAGTGAGATGAGTCCCTACAGAGACAGAGGCAACACTTTGGTCACCTTTGATCGCACTGAGCAGTGCTTGACCCTACATGGATTTACCTGGAAATTGGAATCTACCCAACAGGGTAAGGCAGTGATTTCTGGTAGACTGGATCCAGAGTGAACAAATCTGCTGATTAGCTTCAGTCAGGCAGGTAATGGGATATCTGCACTGTTCTGCTGTTGTTCAGGCTGTGTCTCTGTGCTGGTTTTGGCGGGTGTAGAGTTAATTTTCTTCAGTGGCCAGTGTGGCCCATGTTTTGGATTTGTGCCGAACACAGCTGATAATTCAGGGATGTTTTCCTTGTTGCTGAGCAGAGCCCACACAGAGCCAAACCCTTTTCTGCCCCTCACTCGACCCCACCAGTGAGGAGGCTGGGGGGGCATGAGGAGGCTGGGGTGGCACAAGGAGCTTGGAGGGGACAGAGCCAGAACAGCTGACCCCAAGTGACCCAAAAGGGGTATCCCAGACCATATCGGGTCATGCGTAGCACACAAAGCCAGGGGAAGAAGGAAGAGGGGAACATTCACAAGGCTGGTGTTTGTCTTCCCAAGTCACCCTTATGTGTGATGGAGCCCTGCTGTTCTGGGGGATGGCTGGACACCTGCTTGCACATGGGAAGTGAGGAGTGAATTCCTTGTTTTGCTTTCCTTGCTTTGCTTTCCTTGCATGCACTGCTTTTGCTTTACCTACTAAACTGTCTTTATCTCAACCAGTGAGTTTTCTCACTGTTACTCTTCTGATTCTCTTCCCCCATCCCACTAGGGGGAAATGAGTGAGTGGCTGTGTTGGGCTAAGCTGCTGGCTGGGGTGAAACCAGGATAGTCTCTGAAGGGCAGCCTCTGTATCTCACTGGTGTGTTTCATGCTGGGGAAAAAATAAAAATAAAAATTAAAAAAAAAGAATAAAAAGAGATGATTTTGCATCTGCAAAAAATACTTTTTTCTTAGTTGAGAGTTACCAAGACCTGACTGAAGCTCCATATCAGAGTTTTAATCTTGTACTGCAATTGCTTAAAGAAGGAGAAGGGGATATGAAATGAGTAATGAGAAGGAACCAGTGTGGATGATGGTAGCTGTGGTCTCCTCCTCATGCCATGCACGTTGTGTGGTAGGAGAGGAGAATTCACCGAGAGGACACACTGAGAGCAGCAGCACTCACCAACAGTCAGGGAAAGCTTGTTGCTGTTTTCATAGATTCATGCTCTCATACACCTGGATAGCCAGTAATGTGTCATCCTAGGTACGTGTTTATGTTGTCAGACAAGGACTATCCAGGAATAGCTGTCCATTTTCAGAGCAGTTTTCAAGGCTTGATACATCCTGTGGAATCTGTCTGGCCCATCACTCAGACTGTGGACATGGAAGTAGCGTTGCAGAAGACAAGTATATCAGTTCTTGTCTGTCTCAGTCCATCTGGTGAAGCATCAAGTGTGTGGGAGCACTTGGTCCAGGTAGAGTATGAGGGACAGAGGGACAATGTGCTGCTGAAAGTTAGGAAATCTAACTAAAGTGGTGTGTACTCTGTTCATTTGATGAAAACAAATTTTTACCAGTGCACACGTCCTATTTCGTGAGACCTCTTCCTGTTTTCCCTGCTGGGTGGTCTAACTTCCAGAGTGCCTGTCACAGCTCAGTGACAGCTCTCAGTAACTCCAGCAGCTGGCAGTGCTCTCTAGAAATCCAGGGTCATTTTTACTGCTTTAGAGCACTTTTGCCAAAGCCAGTAAGTACCAGCTCAAACAGGCCTTGAAACTTGGTGGGGGCAGGAATTGGGATTTCAAAACTAAGAGGTTCCCTCAGTACTGAGATGTTTTCTATGTAGGAGTGGTCTGCTTTTTTCTTATTAAATACAAATACTGGGAATGTAGTGTTCAAGTCATACTTTTTTTTTTTGACTGCTTTAATGAGCATGTTATCAGCATTTCTACTTTATTGTATACAACAGAACAGAAATATTGGCAGTACTGTGCACTTACCACTTGGAACGCAAGTACGACGTGAAAGAGGTTTTAAATACTATTAAATATTTTCTTGTAGAATTTGTAGAAATTGAACTTAATTATTTGAATAATGTTCTAAACATTCAACTTTCACTCTAATTATCCAGTCTTTTCTCTGCTCTCGTGCAGCTATGGTGTCACAGCCAAAGAAATAATTAATGAAATTAGGTGCATGTTGAAATATATATACACACACATACACTTCAGGTTGGCAAATGAAAATAAAAAGAGAGCTTAAAAAGCACTTCAACAAATATTATTTAATGTTCAATTTAGCAATTAAGTGGTCATATGTATGTTGGATATCATCATCATCATGGCTAGGCTTCGCGAACGAAGATTTGGGAAGGGCTCTACCCATTTTTCATGCAAGCGCGTTGGTGGCTAAAAAGGCCAATACGAGAAAGGCATGTCCGGTTGCAAAAGACACAGCAGAAAGACTCCTTAGATGGTATATTCTGCAAGGTTCGATTCTTTCTGCGTTGTCTTTTCTCCTCAAGAGTGATCCTGCGTGCTTTCTCAAAAGCATCAGCAGCGTTATAAATGGTCTGTCTCCAGGCCTCCCGATTAGAGGCCAGAGTGGACCAGTTATGGTGATCAATATGCCCGAGGCTGAGTTGTTGCTTCAGGGAGTCCTTGTATCTTTTCTTTGGGGCTCCTCTCTTGCGGCAGCCAGTGGCAAGTTCACCATAGAGCAGGATCTTAGGGAGGCGGTGGTCCTTCATCCTAGAGACGTGCCCTGCCCATCGCAGTTGCGTTGTCAGTAACATGGCCTCAATACTCGTAATTGCTGCCTGTTCGAGAACAGATGTATTGGTCACATAGTCTGACCAATGGATGTTAAGGATTGTACGGAGGCAGCGTTGATGGAAGCGTTCTAGGAGACGCAGGTGGTGGCGGTAGATGACCCATGATTCGGAACCATATAAAAGAGTAGACAGCACTATGGCTCTGTAAACACTGATCTTGGTGCTTTTCTTCAAGTGTTTATTACGCCATACTCGTTTATGGAGTTTTCCAAAAGCACTATATGCCTTCGCTAACCTATTGTCTATCTCCCCATCAATCTTACCATCTGAGGAGATGAGGCTGCCTAGGTAATTAAACTGTTGGACTGAATTGAGTTCTGACTGGCCGATGGTGATGTGGGGATGGTGGGGGACTTCCTGAGGTGCAGGCTGATGGAGAACTTCTGTCTTCTTTAAGCTGACTTCCAGCCCAAAGAGCTCAGCAGCATCTGCAAAGCAGGATGTTAAACGCTGCAGAGCTGCTTCTGTGTGGGCAACAAGGGCGGCGTCATCAGCATAGAGCAGCTCCCGGACAAGATGGTTTAGGGTCTTAGTATGGGCCTTCAGTCGCCTTAGGTTGAATAGGCTTCCATCAGTACGATATCGAATGTAGATACCGTCCTGATCATCGAGGTCTGCCGAGGCCCTTTGGAGCATCATACTGAAAAAGACTGTGAATAGGGTAGGAGCGAGAACGCAGCCTTGTTTCACACCATTCTTTATTAGAAAGGGCTCAGAAAGTGTGTTGCCATATCTGACTTGGCCGTGCTGATCCTCATGAAGTGAGATGATCATTTTAAGGAACTTGGGGGGACAACCTAAACGTTCCAAAATCTGCCAAAGACCTTTTCTGCTCACAGTATCGAAAGCCTTGGTGAGGTCGACAAAGGTTACATAGAGACCTTTATTCTGTTCCCTACACTTCTCTTGCAGTTGTCTGAGAACAAATATCATGTCTGTGGTGCTCCTGTTGGCTCTGAAGCCACACTGACTTTCAGGTAGAATTTCTTCTGCTATAGCGGGTATTAGTCTGTTCAGGAGTATTCTTGCTAAGATTTTGCCAGCAATGGAGAGCAGAGTAATACCACGGTAATTTGAGCAGTCTGATTTAGTACCTTTCTTCTTATACAAGGTGATGATGACTGCATCACGAAGGTCTGATGGTAGTTCGCCTAGTTCCCAACAGCGCACCACAAGCTCATGAAATTTAGCATGGAGTGCAAGGCCCCCATGTTTCCAGATTTCAGGTGGAATTCCATCAACCCTAGCTGCCTTGCCAATTTTCACCTGCTGTATGGCCTTGAGGGTTTCTCCTAAAGTGGGGGCAGTATCCAATTCGTGTTTCACCGGTCGTTGTGTGATGGACTGAATTGTTGAGTCTTGGACTACATGGTTGGTACTGAAAAGAGTCTGAAAGTGTTCAGACCATCGATTCAGAACGGAGGTTTTATCTGTCAGAAGCGTTTGACCATCTGCACTGAGTAGTGGGCTATGGACTTGGTATGTAGGTCCGTATGCTGTTTTCAGGGCCTCATAGAATCCTTTGTGATCCCCTGTATCTGCACAAAGTTGAGTTTTTGCAGCTAAATCGGTCCACCACTTGTTCTGGATGTCACGGAGTTTCTGTTGGAGTTTGCTGCATGCAAGACGAAAGGCTGCTTTTCTTGCGGGACAGGATGGCAGTGCAAGATGTGCTTGGTGGGCAGTTCTCTTCTTCCTCAACAATTCCTGGATTTCTTGATTGTTTTCATCAAACCAATCTTTGTTCTTCTTGAGGGAGAACCCTAAGGATTCTTCAGAGGATTGCAGGATGCAGCTTTTAATATGATGCCAAATTGCTTCAGGAGAGGAATCTGCAGAATCTGTGGAATGGTTTTCAAGCCTAGTTTGAAGGTTTGCCTGGAATCTTTCTCTTACTGTGGTTGATTGGAGATCGTTAACTTGGAGTCTTCTCCTTGGGATATTGCCCTTTTTGGGTTTGAATTTGAGATTGAAGTTAAGTTTACAGCGCACAAGCCGATGGTCTGTTTGGCATTCTGCGCTGGGCATCACGCGGGTATGGAGGACATCGCGGACGTCTCTCCGACGCACCAAGACATAATCAATGAGATGCCAATGCTTAGATCTGGGGTGCATCCAGGTTGTCTTCAGACTATCTTTCTGCTGAAAGATAGTGTTGGTGATGGTAAACTGTTGCTCTGCGCAGAATTCCAGCAGAAGTCGACCATTATCGTTGCAGTTTCCAACGCCATGCTTGCCTAGTATTCCTTTCCATGCTTCAAAATTTTTACCAACTCTGGCGTTGAAATCACCAAGGATAATGATCTTATCATCTGCTGGTACTTTTTGGGTAAGGCAGCGCAGGTCAGTGTAAAATTTATCTTTTTCAGCAGGGTCAGCTTGGAGAGTTGGGGCATATATACTAAAGATGACAACGTGATGCTTGTTGTTTAGTGGAAGGCGTAGGGAGATAATGCGGTCAGAGTGACCTGTCGGCAGATTTTCGAGTTTAGGGACAATAGAGTTTTTGATCATGAAACCGACACCTGAGAGATGTTGGATATGCTGCCACAGTAAATACTGGTTGATTTTAGTCCCTCAATCCTGTGGTCTCTTAGGCCAAAGTTGGCACCCCATGTGTTTGTGTCCATGCTGTGGGTTCTAACCTGGTGTAGTGCCTGCTGCTGGGAGTGGAGCAGGTGGGGCAGGGAGGTGGTTCTTGGATGACACCAGATTTTCTCTCAGCTGTATGATGGAGTTGTGTGGTAGTACTCCACAGCTGTCGATGGTGGTGTCATGCTGTGGGGAATTACTTTTTGGGGGCAGTCAACTGCTGGAGAGCTCAGGGCTGAACCTTTCCCACAAGCCAAGTTGTGTGTTATAAAGGAATTTGCACATTTATTTTTACTTTATCAGCCTTGCAGTACCTAAAGGGGCCTACAAGATTTTTTTGCCTGGACATATAGTGATAGGGCAAGGGATAATGAATTTAAACCAAAACAGGGCAGGTTTAGATTAGATATTAGGAATAAATTCTTCCCTGTGAGGGTGGTGAGGCCATGGTACAGGTTGCCTGGAGAAGCTGTGGATGACCCATCCCTGGAAGTTTTCAGGGCCAGGTTGGACGGGGCTTGGAGCAACCTGGGATAGTGGAAGGTGTCCCTGCCCACGGCAGAGGGGTTGGAACTGGATGGTCTTTAAGGTCCCTTCCAACTCAAACCATTCTAGGATTCTGTGACCTTCAGTAAAAATAACTTGCCCAGTTTTCCTGAAATACCCTGCTCTGTGCAGCCTGCATGGCTCTGAAACAGCCATCTGGTTTCTTTTGCTGCCTCTGCTGTTACATCCTGAGTACAACAGCAATTTGCAGTTACTCTCTTTTTTCCTTCTCCCATGTCCTTCACCTCCAAAGCACAGGCCCTCACTACAGTAGCATCCATGTGGGTCTCCAGGATGGAAAAACTGAGTTAACATTTTTTCTTCCTTTACAGAGCAAGGAGGTTCTTTACAGAAGAATCAGCCTGATGAGCACTGGTTTTCATGTGCTTGCTTGTTTGCATGGTAGGAAGGCTTTTTCTGTGAATGGGAGGAATGTTTAGCATCTGATTTTCTGAACTGAAAAGATTTCCTGTCTGTATAATTAGCCTTATTTACACAATTAGAGCTTATCCACTAATTGCTTGGGTTTTTTTTTTAGTTTGCTTTCCTCTACGTAGAATATTCATCAGACAGCTCATGTTGAGAAGTCAACAAGATTGTTGTTGTTCTGTTTTTTGTGTCTCTACAAGGAATGTGATTGTCACTGAAGCAATGAATTGTTGAATAAAATCTAAACACCACTTAATGTCAGCTTTTTTTTCCTGAGTGACATGATGATGAATTCTGGAGAAAAAAAGTGCCTTAGAGAAATTTCATTAAATAAATAATCTAGTTGTGCCTAGAAATTCCATAATGACCTCAAGACTTAGGAGCTGCCAAATATACTGCTTAGAATTAGCCACTCTTCTAGAGATATCAAAATAATATACAATGAACACTGCAAAATCTGCTTACTCTAGAACAATGTATCTCTTTAAACCTAATTCATTGTGTGCAAATGACATTTGCTTTTATAATAGTAGCATGTATTCATGCTCTACATTGTTCTTGTCTGTCTCTCTAGCACACTAGGGACTGTGGTGCATCCTGTATGTCTTAGAACTTAATCATTCAGTTACCCAGTAAAAATAAAATGGTGTGAACATGCTCATGAGTGAGAGCAATCAGACTCAATTACAGAAAAAGACAGTCCAAACTTGAATGTCATCCAGATAATTTACCAGGCTCAGAATACAAAACATTTAATGAGGAACTGTCATGTTTATAGAAACTTTAAGGATTGTATAGGTTATATAAGAATAGCGATGGAATTATGATTATTAGAAATAACAGAGTTAGGGTAATTTCTTCTTAATCCATAAGCAATCCAGTCAAACAGAAACATTCACAAGGTAAGCACAGTGGAATTTGTTAAAGCTGGTGGTTGTGCTGCTTTCTTCTCTCAGAGAAACCAGCTCTGCAAGGCTTCACCCTGTGCTGGCCTTTGTCCCTTGTAGTGCTTTGTTATATACCCACCCTACAAGATCTGCTTTGGAGAGGATTGAACAATTTGGGGGAAAGCAGGCAGACTGAAAAGGTTGCTGAAAGTCCAGTGCAGCAGTGTGGTGTCTGCATGTCTGATTCTCTGCTCTTCTGCACATGGACATGTGCTCATTTGCCGAACGGGACCTGCCAGGGCAGCAGAGGGGAATACTTCATCTCCCTGCTAGCAGGAAATGGCACATTCCTCTCAAGTTTCAAGCTGCATCCTGACTCTTTGCTCAGGCAGGCTGTGTATTCAAAGGGTTTTAGGAGGCCGAATTCAGTGTAGTTGATTCCATAAACAAATCACTTCTCTGTTCCTCCTCTCTGTAAAATGGAAATTACAGAGGAGTGTTAAGAGCTTGGGGTGAAAAAGCTCTGCTCAGTGACATTATTTGTGATGTGGTAACACATCAGGGAAGGCAGGATTAATGGTCAGGTAATTCAAGGACTGGCAGAATGTTCCTAACTGAGAGTGATAGAAGGAGTTCAGACACCATGACTAAAAATCAACCATTGATACAGCTGTTATTGCTGTTATTGCTGTTGCATAAATTGAATTCCTTCTGTCTTGTAGTTTGATTTGCATAGCTATAAACTCCCTCCCTTAATCTTCAAATAAACGCACACCTACTTCGTACATACGCCCCTCTTTTTGTCTGAGGCAATGTAAGAGTTGATCCATGAATATCATGACTTGTTTTCTACTTAGGTGGATATTATCACTACAATCCATTACCAGTTTTTAAACACCTGTAGATTTGGGGTTTCCACTATTTCTGTAGCCTCACGTGACAAAAAGTATTTCTTTATATTCAATGTTTTCATTTGGAAAAGCCCAGGTTGTAATGCTATCCCAGTTGTCATTATTTTTTGCTAATTCTTTAGAGAAATTCTTCAGCTTTGGTAAATTCATCCAGTAGAATATGGATGGCAACAGAGAAATATTTGACAAAAGTTCTGGTATTTCAGGGAGTCTCATAAAAACTGTCAGAACTTTCATTAACTCATAACTCCCTCTGGACTGTGTCTCTATCTCTTTTAGGGCCCCTCAGATCAGCCTTTTTATTTCACTAGGCTGAAACTTTTACAGCAGACAGTTCCCAAATGGCATATCTAGCTGCAGCCGTGTATTTTTCTTTGTTAATGCCAGTAGTGTTAACAGCATTGGATTGAATTAAGCTTTACTAAGGCTGTAGCAGTTAAGATCTTCAAATGCTTTTCTCCAGGGCACTTCTTCCTCATAAGAGAATAATTTGAAAAATTTAAAAAAAAAAAAAAAAGCCTAATGCTGAAGAACTCACAGGAAGGGCTTCATTGCTGTCACTGAATGAATCATCCACATCACGGTTTTTTCTCCAAACTCTTTGAGAGCAAGAGTGCCTTGAACAGGTGCTCCAAGTTTGGAGAAACTCAAGAGAGGGATTTCAAGCCCTACATTCAGAGCTCAGATTCAAGTGACATTATGAATAGCTTAAATTAATTACCCTGTCCAGTGAGACTGGATTGTCATACAAAATATTCTAAATCCAACAAAACAGTATTTCAGTGAGAAACCATTGTCTTTACCACTCTGTCACTCTTGCAAGATGTGAGTAGTGCTGTGGAGAGTGTATTGCAAGGCTTTTTTCCCCACGATAAAGCAGCCTTGGAGGGGATTACAGCAGCCAGGCTCCTGAACAGCCAATATGCAACTAGAGATGTGTCATTTCAGGTACCTGGTACAAGAATATATTGAGGAAAATGTATTGGGAGGTTCTGTAGTTTCGTCCTCTTGGATAACTTACCACCAGTGTAAGTTAAGTTGCATGTGAATTAAACTTCTGTCCAGCTGCAATTTGTGCAGACTTTTACCACAGCTCCTGTGTGTGGCACACCCCCAGCAGCCTCGGGGCTGCAATCAGGTCCCCCTCTGTTTCGGGTTCCAGCTGCTGCAGTCAGTCAAATAGCTGAAATCCTAGGAGGACCTTTCCTTCGTCTCCCTTCCAGGGTAGCGTGTGCTGTCTTTACACATTTTTGTTGCTTTTAGCCAAAACTGGAGAATTTTTTTTCTTCCTGGCAGTCGTGCACTGAAGTGCGTACCCGTGGAAAATTCCCATGGTTGTTACACGTGCACTGGTTGGAGTGCTCCTGTAGCTAACACAGGAACTCCCTCTTCCCAGAGCCGTGTTCAGGATCCCTTGAATCTGCTGGTTTATGGCCAGCAGACTTCTGGCTTCCTGGGAGGGAAGAGTATTGATTTACATACCCGGTAAATATCTTGTAGGCAATTTTCCTTTCTAATCATTGTTCAATAAGCACAGCTGGACGCAAATAAATTGACATTATAGTTAAGGCCTCCTAACAGCTCCGCTCACATCTCCTGGGGCCTTTCTGTAGCCTCTAGGATTTTTATAAAGATTTATTTTCCCTAAATATAATTACATTATAATCTAATTACTTTCTTACACTTCTTCTCATAATTAACTTTCCTATGTTTAAAACTTGAAGAAAGAAATGAGATAGAACACACTGCTTTATTAATCTGAGGAGTGTATCTTATATTTCTTAAAATAACTTCTGATTTTTGTTTTATTTCATTGGTCTGGTTGGTATGATCTGTAAACATCTTTGCAGCCAGTGCCAAATTAAAATAATATGTACTTGATTTTTATTGTACATCAATAAAAACATAGGTGGTATGAATAGCAAGAAGGAATAGACACATGGTTTCATTCTATTTTAAATGGTAATGTGTTATATCTAATCTGCTAACGTGAAAAAAATATTGATAGGCCTGAACTGGACAAAATGCACACAGTAAATTCAGTTTCTTGTCTTCGTTTGTAGACCAAGTACTTTCTTATCATTTTCCTTTATACTTATACAGAAGTTCTTGATTTCTACTTTTTTTTTTTTTAATTCTGTTGTCATTTCATACAGAGATAGAACAGTTTTGCACTGGGAGAACTACATGAAAATTTCTTTGGAATGGATATATTTTTATTTGTTGTTCGTCAGTATCTTCTGAATAGTCTTAAAATGCAAATTCCATGATAACAGTGCATGAGCTCTTCTGTTTGTCTTCCTACAGCTTTGTGTTTTTCCATTGGACCAACCAATGGACTTGCATGACTAGAAATTCAGGCAAGCAAATTCCATAAGGTATGTGAAATGTTGACTGACACACATCTGCTTTTCATTCTCAGAAAGCATATTTTCTTAAAATTTAATAACATTTTGAGGGTCAAAGAACATGATAAAAATAAATTATCTGAATTCCTAGGATAATTCTACAAATAGCAGTAGAGAGATCCCACTGTACTGGTTCCCATAATGTATGAAAATATTTTTTTAAATTTTGTTCTCACATATAGAGAGTGTTTCAAGGAAAAGTCAGAGGGGAATATAAATTTTTTTTTATGCAGGTTGAACTTTCTTTCTGAAACAGAACTGAACTCAGTTTCAATGTTCTATATTCCGTATTGAAATTCTTCTAACATTTTTATATAAAATAGGGATTTGGGGGTTTATCTCCTGTTATTTTCATAATGGAAAACCTATCACTTTATATGAGGAATCCACCCTATTGTTTCAGATAAACTCTCATGCCATTCAATGGAAAATAACAGTCCTCTGCTGCAGTTCTTCATGTTTTCCCTCAGTGTGGCCACTGTGCAGAGCAGGAGCAGTTAAATAGCTGCTTGAGCTTGGATCATACTGGTCTGCAGGAGGAATTGGAAGCAGTTCCTGGTTTTACAGCAGTAGCACTAGGAAGCACCATTCTCCTTTTAGGTCCCCCCCCCGATATTTGACCTGATATCAACATGAACATTTTTCAGAAGAGACAGCTTAAGACTTTTCAGCAAAAAGTGCTAGAATTAATTTTGCCAGTTTGGCAAGGGTGTTGGGACAATATAACCTCGTGTATTCCCAGTGCTGTAGCTACGAAGCTGAGTTTTATAGCAGAGGAGATCCCAAGGAACGACACCAACTGTCCCTCTGCCGTCTGGCCCAGCCTGGTTGCAGCACATGGCCAGCAAAGGCATCAGGAGGGGGCAAGGTCGCCGTGCTCTGCCCTCCCCTGCACCGACTCAGCTGCTGCTCAGTGCTCTGAGCACTGCCAGGGCACTGAAGAAGTGGAAGTCTGGTCCAGCAGTTCCCAGGGCAGCTCACATCTGGAGATATGCGGAGGTCAATAAAGCTAAGACGATCCCAGGGAGGCAAGAAGCTGGAATGCTTTATTGGATTTACAAGTTCATATTTAAAGGGTTTAGGATCTACATATTCAACAGGGGGTTGTAGCTATTACAATTTATTACAAATAGGGGATTTCAGGGGATGACATAAGGGAAAAACCTGACTTACAGAATTCGGGGTTTTCACAGAGATGACATCAGGGGAAAATCCAAGTTATACTCTAGATGGAGGTTTTTTCTCAGTCTCTGTCAGCCCAAGGCTTTTGTTTAAGGAGTTTTCTTTTAGGAGTTTTCTTTTTCTCATATCCAAATTTTGAAATCCAACAGATACACAAGGCACAGTTTCGGTAATGAAAGAAAGGCTGACTGGGGTGGAGAGGGAGTTGCAGAGTCAATAAGAAGAGTCAAAAAGGGATAGTTTTCCCCACTTTAATCTCCCTGGTGTGAATATTAGCTGTGGAAAAACCGAAAGGTCATTCAGGCCTAAATCTAGAGCATCTCTTTTTTGGATGGAGTGCCTTTCTTCTTGACTTTAGTAGAAGTGCATAGGAACAAAACTGAGATCACATTTGAACCGGAATATAAACCCACTTTTCCTTTAGTATTTCAGACTCCTCAGCCCAAGTCTTTTAAATGGAAAATACCTAAAAAGTCATTGTGGTGAAAAAAATCAATTTCCAAAGTTTGTTTTACCACTAGTCATCAGGTATTTAAATCTTTGCCTTTTGTCAGAAAAACACCTTTGATAAAGGCCACCTTCCATATATAGAGATTTTGCCTTTGGAGATGAAAGGGAGGCATCTGTGAGATGTCTCTGTTTCCTGCTGGGAGCATGCCCTGTGCACTGGGTACCGGACCAGTGAGGACAGAGGTCACTGGGACCCTGAGGGTGGCAAGAACAAACCATGCCACCTCTCTGTCTCTGTTTCCCTGCTTATGTATTTTGCCTATTAAATCACATCTGTCACCTTTATCACCTCCTTGTTCTTTAAAGATGTACTTCTCTTTGCTGCTTTTTAAACATATCCTTTTGAAAACTTTCTTGCTCTATACCAGCTGTTTCCTTAAGATCTTTTGGCTTAGGATTTGTCAGATGCCTTTGAGTCTATATATATATAGCCTGGATTTTTGTTGTTAGTATACCTACTGCTGCCTCTAGAAAATATTTTGATATGTAATGAGGCAAGACTTCCTTCACAAAATCTGTTTCTCTCTTTACCAATAATTATATTTGTCTATGAAGGCACTCATTCTATTTTTTAAAACAGTTTCCACCAGTTTGCTTGGCTTTCTGCTCCGTGTTTGCCCAGAACACCTCTGGTAACAGAGCAAATTTAAGCCAGAAGTTAAATAGCGCCATTGGTAGTTAAATCTTGAGTTTCTTTATGTTATAGGCAGTTCTCATGTGGTTCTGGTGGTTTGTTACTGATCATTTGTTCATTAGAAAACCTTTTTGGGTGTCTCTGTCATTAATTTTTATTTGAGATATTTTTATTTATTTTATTTGAGAGAGATTCCAGAATAGGAATCTTTCCAGTCTCCTCCCCCCAAAATATGTGCAAAAAAAAATAGAAACAAAACCATAAAAACAAAAAACAAAAAAACACAAAACAACAAAAAAACAAAAACAAAACAAAACAAAACAAACAAACAAACAAAAAACCAACACAAAAACAAAAACAAACAAACAAACAAAATCTGATCCAGTGCAGTGCTTCCAACAAAGCCAAGAGTTGCTTCCTCCTCTCTGAATTTCCTGGCTGCCCATGAAATACTGATTCCTGCTAATGTATCCCAGTATGTTTATACTTTCCACTGAGCATAAGTGAAGTTTTCCCATCCCTACGTTGTTCCACAGTTGAAATATAATAGTAATAGTATTTCATTTCAATGCTTCATTTCATCACCCAGAATATCGGTTCTGTGGGATCACATCTGAGTAAACTGTCCAGAGGGCTTGGCCAATTAGTTTTAAACTACTCTTTAACATATGATTCTATTTACTGTTTGGTACAGCTTACTCCATCTTTTATATATGCTTTGATTTTCTTGTTCCCGGGTCTCTGATTGTTTTCTTTCCACTAGGATGCCTAGTGCTTATTATGCTCATATTTGATATTCTCAGTTAAAAGTGTGCAGGGCAGCAAGTCAGGCAGGCAGTCAGGTTCCCTATCTTATTGCTTAGATGGCTGCAGGAAAATGTGGATAAGTTGCTTTTATTTTTTTTTCTCTGTACAACTATTTCTTTTATGTAGAGCTGTTGCTTTTCTTTGCTGTTTCCTATTTGATTATCTCAAGCTTCCATCCTATCCTTTATATAAATTCTTTTAACTTCCCCAGGGAGCTTTTCTGCACCCATCAGCATTCTTCCACTTTCCTGTTTCAGCAACTTTACACAAACCTTGGCTGTGTTCCTGGGAGGTGAATTACCCAACACTGGAGCCTGCAACTTGTAACTGAGGTTCATGACCCAAGAGTGTATTTACCTCTCGTGAGGACGATTTCTTATGGACCTCATTTCCAGCTGGAGTTCAGGACCCTTGTAGCCAACAGGGCCTGTTGACCTTTAAGTGTTGGCTGCTGGAAAGGGTCTGTATTGTGCTGACATACACATAAGCCCCCCAGGGAGCAGCTGGTTGATGCCTCTGTTGAGCAGCGCAGTATATTCTTCACCTTGTTGGATTTTTTAACTTCCTGCTTGGGTGGGCTGCCTTTCTCAATCCATCCTGTCAGTGCTTGCTAATGGGCTGCCCCTTATTTCCTTGTTGGAGCTCAGATTGACCACAACAGCAAGCTTTTTTCCCACTATTTCTAGCAGTAGTTTTGTGGGCTAAAAACATGTATCTGCTAAATTCAGTTTCCAGGAAGCATTGCTAATTCTTATGGCAGAATCAGACCTCTCCACAAACACTGATGTGTTTAATATATTCTTGATATTCATTGGTCTCCAGTAATTTGCCTTTTACCTAGAAGGGCACATCAACAAGCGGCTCTCCTATGTTTACTCTTAAGTAAATTGTGGTGTTAAACAGCTTCTTTCTGAAACCCTCCTGGTTGCATAAGCCATGTGATTCTGGATACAACAATCTGATGAGGCAAAACAGTACTTGGGTGTGTTAAGTGGTGGTTATTGCTTGCATTTCAGTATATTTGTATTGAGGGTCACTCTCCTGGAAGTAACAAGCACGGAAGAGGGATTAATTCGAGAGTCCCAAAGTCATTGTCCAGAACAGGAGGTTTGCAACTATCAGACAGAAAGCATCAACTTTCTATTTTTGGAATTAGTAACTTTGGTCTTGATGAGCAATGATAAAATCATGCAGAACATAATTCATTAAAATACAGTTCAGTCTGGGATCATTGGTGAGGTTTGCCACCTGTGTGGCCTCGTGCTTGCCCAAGTGGATTGTAGGTCATAGAAATATGTCAGGAAACAGCTTACAGGGACACCTATTTGAATACTCAAGGTTGAACATCTGCCTCTCCTAATCTGTCACTGTCCCACTAAAAAAGTAATTTCTGACATTCAGTCAACCAAAAATATCCTGGGAACAGCCCGGTGGTTGGTTCAGTAGGAGTTTGTGAGTGGAAAGAAACCAGTTTGATTTGCACAAAATACTGTTTGGTGATAAACCCTCACTTTTGTTGCTGGCTGGAACAAGTACGGGCCTTCTCATGTTTCTCACTTTAATTTGGCATTAATGAGTTTTTGCAAACATGGCCTCTGTGTTTATACAGTCATTCTTTGCTTGTTTCTACTAGTCTGTCAAAGGCCACACTGGGGTTTTGTGTTTGCTTCTTTTGTGTGTGTGTGTTAAACATTGAGCAGAAAGCCAGGGCACATACAGTTGTATAAGTGTTTCTAAAATAATATCTGCTCAATATGCCTGGAAGTAGTACCCCTGTTCCCCTCAGATGTTTCAAGTCTGAGGGGAACACTTGGATTGGATAGACAAATCAGTCTTA